GGAGAAACCAGCTGAGCCCCACCCTCGAGTCCCTGAATGTCCGTTCGGCACTCTCGCTGTTGGTCAGCGAACTTCTCCTTGGGTGACATGGAAGAGCTTGTCCTTCTCCCCCAGCGTGACATGGCTGTGTAGACGGGGTGGGCAGAGAGCTCACCCCGTTCGCCCTGGCCCTCCTGCAGGACTGTGGCCCCAGGCTCTGTTGGGCAGCCCCTCTCTCCACAGAGCCCTTGCCACCCTTGAAGTCCTGCGGCTCCTGAAGCCCCCACGGCTTTGGGCTAAGTGCCTCCAGGGGCTCCCGAACTGGGGGCAGGGGGGATCAGGCAAGGGATGCCCTGGCTGTGACAAGGCCACCTAAAGGGGCCCAAGAGGAGGGGGAAGCCAAGTGTAGCAGCAGGGCCACCGAGATGAGTCCCAGGATCTGGATCCGGTACCATGGCCGCTATGCAAACAGCTGGAAGGCCAGGCAGCTAGGTCGCCCAGGTAGCCTCAAAGGGGGTGCGGATACTGCGAGGATAGAGTGAGGTGGCATCTGCTGGAGCCAGCCACGGAGGGAGGGCCATCTCCTGCAGGGGTGCCCAGAGATGGAGTCCAGGGAGGGCCCAAGGCTCTGGGGATGCAGTGGAGGCGGGGCAAGGGAGGGAGCCCTAGCCAGGTAGGCTGGGGTGGGGTTAGGAGCACTGATAAGAGAAGGGGCCGCAGGTCAAGGGGCCAAGGGGAAGGCAGGGCTGGGCTCCGGGCTCCTCAATAACAGAATGCTTACCCTGCCCCACTCCTGGCCCTGGACAAACCTCCAAAGAAGCTGGTCCATCTCCAGGGTGGCACTGCCCCTCCCAGGTCCACAGGGGCTCTAAGCTGGGGGTGGGGGAAATGCAAGGACCACCCAGCCCAAGGAAGGATTGAGCGACCCCTCCCCATGCCTCCTCGAGGCCCTCCATCCAGCCCTGCGTTCCCAGCACTCAGTGGGTCCCTGCACACTGTTGCTTCCCCCAATTCAGCACCCTCTCCATCCCGGTGCAGGCCTCCCCCTGAACCCCCAGCCTGCCCGCTGTGTGGCAGCTAGACCCTGCCACGCGGATGCTGTCACCTCCTTCATTGCCCCCACTTCCATCCTTACTGCAGCGAATAAGGCCCACGAAGGCCTGGCCCCTGCCTGACTCTCCGGAGGCGTCTCTCAACTGTCGCCCCAACCTGCTCATCTCCCCCGCCCCCGCCCCACCAAATGGCCTTGTTTTCTGAAAATGTCACGCTCTGTCTTCAGGGCTTGTGTACACATCCCGAGTTCTGCCTCAATTCCTTCCCCTCGCACTGAACTCAGGTCCATTTCAGTTCAATGTCCCTCCTCTGTCTCAGCGCCCCTCCTGGGTGCACCCATGCCCACAATGGCACTTTGCACGTGGAGCTGTCCTGCCAGCTCCATGTCTGCGGAACTGCAAGCTCCTCCGGGTCGGCAAGCGTGTCCCACTGTCCCATGTCCCTGACCCCAGCAGAAGCAGCACAAAGAATGTGCTGAAAGGTTTTGCAAATGATAAGGGCATTCACTTAACATTTATTGAGCACCAGCTGTGTACAAAGCCCTGTGCTAAGCCCTGTAGGGGGTTATATAATGCAAAGCCCCTCGGCTCCAGGCTCCCGAAAAAGCTCCAGACTAGACAGTGTTCAAGGGAGAGTTTCTGCACCTGCCAGGGCCATCGGGGGCTTCCGCAGGGGACTCTGCCTGGAACACGCGTCTGCTGGACACCCACCAGCTTATCTCTGCTCGGGCTGCACAGCGTTCTCCAGGAAGCCTCTTTAGAGCTCGTCTGCCCTAGACTGTGTCCCCAACGGCAAGGGACCACAGTGGGTGCCTATTTCCTCTGCACAGGGCCTGGCACCTCCGGAGCTCATTAAATCATTGCTGAGTGATGGCTGGGAAGAGCACCAGGACAGCAGGCAGAAGGCGGTCGTCACAGGCCAACTGGGGGTGCAGGGTCTGCGTTGAAGGCTCCCCTGCCAATGACGACGCTCTGGCAGAGGCTTTAATGGCAGTGGCTCACCCCTGACCCCCTTTCAACTGCTGCTCCATAGGCCTGACCCTCCCAGTGACCTCTGGGATAGGAGGACAAGGACTTCACCCCACTTTACCCATGAAGAGAATGGGGCTCAGGGAAAGGGACTCACTCAAGGCTACACAGCCAGCAAGCGGTGGAGCTGGTGTTGGAACTCGGGTCTGAGCACAACCTCTTGCTCTTAGCAAGCCTTCTAGCCTTGGGAACCCACGCACGCTGCTTCTGAGTCTTCAGTTTCCTTATGAACCAGATCAAAGGGGAGTGACTTTCTGAGTCCCAAATAAACCCGAGGCCTCCTGTGAGGGGCCAGGAAATTTGGCCGAGGGCATCAGAAGTCAAGGGACGCCCCTGACCCAGCTGTCACTCATGTGACTGCCTCGTGTGCCCTGGTGCTCTGAGCTTCCCGGAGAAGACTTTTCCTCTCATTTATCACCCATCCACCCATCCATCCATCCATCCATCCCTCCCTCCCTCCCTCCAACCATCTTTATTCACTTGCTCGCTAGTCACAATGCATCTTTGATACGTATCAGGCCCCGTGATAGAGAGATAAGCCATAGTCTCCACCATCAAGTCAATAAAACGTAGCAAGTGTAGATACCAGGACAGAAGATGAGGCACCGTGGGGACACCGTGGGGACAAAGTGACCCTCTAGATGGAGTGCCCAGGGACCACAGGGGGGGAAGAGTCCTAGAGGAGCTGACACCACTCTTACCACGTCTCTGAGGCTATTGGTATGTGGAGGAGAAACCTCTGCCCCAGGCCAGCCCCCGCTCCGGGCACATCCCAAGTTCTCTAGGAAGCCATTTCCCTACTGTTAGGGCAGGGGCTCCTCAGGGAGTTTCCCCGGCCATTCTGAGGCTGGAAGGACAGACACAGACGGAAGGTCTGGTCCCCGCTGTTTGGGTTCCTTGGCCACTGGATGTGTGTGTGTGTGGTCACCCTGCCCCTCACGCTCTGACCCTGCAGGGCACCGGTGCCGACAGGGCCTTGGAGGTAATTACCTACCTGCCCTGCTGAGCCCCACCTTCCACACTCCCAAGTCTCCCAGTAGAAGTGGGGGCCCGAGGGCAGCAGATGGCTCCCCAGACTGGCCCTGACGCCAATCCCCAATCGGCACTTCTAACCTTAAAGCAATTCCACCTCCATGGCCACCATCTCCTTGGCGCCCCACAGTAACCCTGGGAAGGAGGCAGGGCAGAAGCTGGGAACCCTGTTTTGCAGGTGAGAAAACTGAGATCTGAGAAGCACAGTGGCTGTCCCAGCTGGCGGGCAGACGCCTGGAGAGGTTTAAGGGCTGGGCTGGGGTGTCCTGTAGGCCTACGGTGGATCTTGGCTGTGAGACCCCGAGCCTGACCTCTCTGGGATGCCTCATCTGTAAAAGGGGGATGCTGGGAGTATCTCCTCACAGGGGGGATGCACGACTTAAATGAGATCGAGTTTGGAGAATGCTTAGTGCAGGGCCTGGCACGCCTGGGGCACCCGACAGTCTGGCAATATTATGAATACAGATCCAGGTCTGCTGCCTCCGCAGCTTGCCCTCTTTCTACCCCACCCGCCCTCTCCCGCCCCATCTTTCTAAGGATTGAAGACAGCAGCTGGCAGTGGGAGGTGGTTGCTTTAAATATGAGATGAGGAGAACAAAAGGAAAATAGAACAGGGTGGTGGCTCATGGCTAAAATTGAACAATTCCCCTCCCAGACTCGGGGGAGGGGCCTGCAGGACACCCTCCGGTTTCTGCTCCCTGTTCCCGAAAGGAGCTAAGCCTTGCTTCACAAGCTCCGTCGGTCCTGCTGCGGGGAGGGGGAGGCGCTGGCCGGGGAGCCCACAAGCCAGGGGACACCCCTGCCTGCCCGTAGGCTCTGTTCTCCGGAGGAGCAGCAAGTAGGCTAGGCGGGATCCTGGAGCTTCTCTGCATCGCTTCCAAGAACATTAAATATTCACCAGAAGATCTCTCCACAGGCCCCCCGCGAGCTTCAAGGGCAGCCTGTCCCCTTGGCAGCGTGCGCGCCGCCTTGGATGCCACGGGCCCCATTACCAAGCCCTTGCTCTTCACCTTCTCCCACCGACTGCCTCGGTGCCCCTGGCCCCCTCCCACCCCCACCCCCGCGGGCCCCGGTGCGGTGACCAGCGTTTCATTCTCCCTGGCCGGTGCGCACTGCTCTCCCAGGCAGAGGGCTGGGGCCTGTGACTCGGCCTCCTGACGTGTCCAGAGAAGGCTGCGATCTCCCCTACGCCTACTCTGGCTGGGCCCGGCAGAGGGGACTGAGGTGTCGGTGGGCGAGTCACCGCTGCCCACGCACAGACGGCACCGGAGGGGCCGGGGCTGGCGGTGGCTGCAGGGCTGTGGTCGCTGCCACCATTAAGTGAATGCCGGGGGCTGCGGCAGGCCGAGCAGAGGGCAGGTGGAGGCCTGCCGCCGGCGGAAGGAAGCAGCTGGGAGCCCGATGGACGGAGGTGTGGACTGGCCGTGGGGACCCCAGCTGTCCACTGGGCGGGAGGTAAACAGCAGGCCTGTGGACACAGCTTGTGCCCTGACAAGCAGGGCCGCTGAGGCCGGCAGGCCAGGGTCTAGGTCCCGGCTGAAGTCACTTCCTAACTGGACCTGGGCGAGATACCTCGCCCGCCCAGCCTCAGTTTCTTCATTTGTAAATGGGGACGGTGATCTCCACCTCGGAGGTCTGTTGAGGATACAGGACATCGCGGTCGTAAGGGAGGGAGCCCAGTGCCTGCCAAGTGGGGGACACTCAACAGCTGGAAGCTTCCTTGTCCTCAACCCCAGAAACCCCTCACCGGGCTTCCCTGGTGACGCAGTGGTCGCGAGTCCCTCTGCCGATGCAGGGGACATGGGTTCGTGCCCTGGTCCGGGAAGATCCCACATGACGCGGAGCGCCTGGGCCCGTGAGCCGTGGCCGCTGAGCCTGCGCGTCCGGAGCCTGTGCTCCGCAACGGGAGAGGCCACAGCAGTGAGAGGCCCACGTATCGCAAAAAAAAAAAACCCTCGTCTTCATCCCGTTCCTCCTCCCTCCGCCCTCTTGGGAGCTGCACCCCCAAATCCTCCACTGCCCTCCACATCCATCTCACCAGCTTCCTCAGGCCCCCGTTGTTCTGCACATGCCCCTGCCCCCTCACCCGAGGGTGCCTTCCCCAGGCGTTCCCCCGTCTCATCCCTCCCCTGGAAATGCCACGGCCTAGTTCAATGCCACCTCCTCTGTGACACCTCCCCCAGTGCTCTGGGCAGTGAGAGCTTCTCCTTTCCCCGAACCCCGCATTCCCCTGAACCCCACCCTCCCTCCCCACTAGCAGATTACTTAAAGGCATCCTGCTTTTCTGCTCCTGGGTCTGCCTCCCTCAATGGACTGCCAGCCACTGCCAAGGCCAGTGTGTTCCGACGCATTCCGCATCGTCACGACCCTCTCCTGTTGCAGCCCCTGTCAGCAAATGCTTGTTGAATCACTGGCCACGAGCAGGGAGGGGCCTGGGAGGAAGGTCAGGGTGACCACGGCTGGCACAGGTCTCAGGGAGCAGAGGGAAGGAAAGCCACTGAGGTCAAGAGAAGCAGTGTCTGGGAAACAGCGGCGACGGCCCCGGGTTACCCGGCCCAATCTCGACAGTGGGTGCACGGCCCTCTGCGAGGACGGGCCCGCCGCAGCAGACAGAAGGGGCACCACTGTACTGAGTGCCTGCTGGGGCCGGCACTCAGTACAGTGCCGGCTTGTAAAATCTTGCTGAATTTCCACCCCGTCCTGGGGGAGCTGGGTGTCAGCACCCCATCTCCAGCCGGGAAGAGAGCAGCACGCCCAAGCACACACAGTGTGCACCACAGGGCCAGGTGCAGGCCTGAGACTCCCAGCAACCTCAGGAGCTGGTTCCTTTTATCCCCATTTTATAGACAAAGTCACTGAGGCACAGAGAGGTTAGCAAGAGCAGGGCTGGGCCGGAGCCGGGTCTGTGGACCTCAGAGCCCACATTCCCCACTGCCACCCCGCCGCCTGGGATGCGGGCTGAGCCTGTCTTACTTTTTGGCACCCACGTGTGGCAGATTAAAGGAGAGAACAGCCGCAAAGCCGGCAGTTACTAAACCACAGCTATTCCAGGCCTCGGCACCCCCTCTCCTTGTACTCCCATCTGCACACCTCACCAATCTCCCGGCAGCACCCAGCGCGGCACAGGGCTCGGGCCAGCGCAGGTCTGAGGTCAAGGAGCTGCCCCCCGCGCCCCCCAAGTCCCAGAGGGCCAGGACCCGCTCCACAGTTAGATCCAGGTGGTCAGCCTTGGGGCAGTGACCCTGACTTCTCCTTTTCTTCCCCATCGCACTGAGCTCGGGACCCCACCACACACAGCAGCAACCCAGCAAGCACTTGTGAGGCTCTCGGGTGGGCCAACGATGCTCTCCTCCCAGCTCAGCCGCTCGGGTCTCTGGGCAGAGCTTAGCTGACTGACAGGATGCCGTCCAGCAGAGCTGCTGACAGATCCCATTACAACTGGACTCTCAGCCTCAGGAGGCTGTGACCGGGCCAGGGGCCAGGACTGCCAGGTCTGAATGTCCTAGGTGGGCCATCACAGGAGGCCCCGTGAGTGCAGGGACAGTGGGCTGGGGAGAACAGGCTGCCCCAGCTCTGCCCAGACCCGGCATTTTGGGGTGTGAGACTCAGATTCCGGAGCCAGCCCCTGAGCTGAAGGGGCTTCTCAGGCCTGCAGGGCAGCCCCTCCTCCTCAAGCCATTTCCGCCTCTGTGCGTTCATCCCCACCGTTCCTTGGCCTGGAGCATCTCCTCCCTGGGGAAAATCCCACTCTCCCTTCAAGAACTGGCTTTCAGGGCTCCCCCCCCCGCCGGAGGCTCCCCCTCACTCTCTGGGCTGGGCATGGAACCTCCTTCCACCCAACCACGTCCTGTCCTCTCTTATTACACCACTTTTCACATCCCGCTGAAACAATCGGGTTCAAGTGTTCTGCGATAGACTGTGAGCTCACTGAGGGCAGGGTCTGTGGTTTCTCCATCTTTGCATCCCCACTCCCGGGGCCTGGCACTCAGTGCTGCTGAATAAACATCTTTGAACTGAACTACATTATGTGAGACCGAAAACGTCTTTATAGTGGCTCAGTCTGGCCACCAAGGGTGTCTCAGTCAGCGTCCACGGGGCCCCATCCAACTGCGCTCAGTCCGCACCCGTGACGGAACGGGGAGGGGGCAGGGCCCAGGCGCGCGGGGCCATGCCTGAGCACAGGGTTTCCGGCAGCCTTGCGGTCCGGCCAGAAGCTTCCCCGAGTTCCTGGGACCCAGCACAGCCTGAGGATACTGGGCCTGCCTTCACTCCAACCTCGAGAGACTGTAGATCAAGATCAGTTTTTGGTTATTTTAATTGTAAAAACCAAGACATTCATATAAATTAGACCGCTGTGTAAAATAGGATTCGCCCTTCTACTAAAACCCTTCTCCCCACACTCAAAAAGAATATAGAAAAGCCAGCAGAGATAAGAAGTACAAATCAGCATGCGGTCCCTGATGAGAAGTGGCAGGCCAGGTTTCCCTGCTGAAACGGGCCTCACGGCGAGGGCACTCCTGGCCCAGGCGTCTCACCGGAGGTCAGTGACACTTCGAGAAACTGCGCAGTCGCAGCTCCCACACCCTCAGCCACTGGTTACCAACTGCATGGGTGAGGCGGGGTAACAGGTTCACGCAGCCTGGAGGCTGGGGAGCGGGGAGGGGACGGAGGGCGACAGGCTGCTTGGTCCTCACGTCAAAGCCCGGGGCTGTGGAGCTGTCGGCCCAACGAGATGCAGTGCCTTGTTCAGCCCGGGGTCAGGCTGGGAAAGGGGCTTCTGGGGTGGGGTGGGGGTCACCACTTCTCCGGAGGACAAGGAGAGACGCCAGCGACCCATGAGGACAGACTCCCTCTCGAGGCCGTCTGCATACGGCCCGTAAAGACGAGGACAGCGGACACCTGCCTGCAGTGCTGCGGGTGGGAGCGAGGGGCTCCCGGGCTGTGAGGGGTGAGCAGCCAGCCGGAGAGGCGGGGCTCGCATGTCCCTGTGAGAGCAATTCCACCTCCCCCGCTCCTTCTACCCTGTCGCATCTCCCCACCCCTCCCCTGCCGCCCCCTCACGCCCTGGGACTCAGCGTGAGATGGCTGCGAGCCCGGGGCAGAGATGTCAACGAATTCACACACTGGGCGCGGCTCAGGAAACGGTACCCAGGACAACAGAAGAGAGCCCGCTTTCCTTTGGAAAGTCAGGAGCTGCCTGGGGCTGCTCCCCATCCCAGAGGAACAGCAGGAAAAGGCCTGCGGGGGACGGGGGCAGGGGTGGGGGACAGTGTCAGGAGCACTTCCAGACACACACAGCCAGGGTCCCCCCGAAGTACAGGTACAGGAGGTTCTTCACCTCATGTGTGATCTCAAAGCCGAAGCCTTCGCCGATCACCACGTGCCAGGAGGAGCCGAACTTCTTGTCCATCGTCTCTTTGATCATCTTGGCGGCGCTCTGGAACCAAGAGGATGCTCATCAGAGAGGGAGGTTTCGGGGAGAGAGTGGGCATGAGTCAGCGCCTCTCCGGAAAGCACAAGTCTTGGCAAGAAGAAAGGCCTGTTGCCTGATATCGCTGTTCTGCTTACGGAACCTTCGGACAGGGTTTCCGCACGGGGACCCTCCTGCCAGGGGCTGTCGTTACACAGGGACAGGAAACCAGACACTACCTCATCAGTCAGAAGACACTGGTGAGGCGGTAGAGCGGGCCTCGGGCCTGACACAGGGCCCCGGGCTGGAGCTCTGGCTCTGCCCTTAGTGCCCGCGTCCAGTGCCAGGGCCACAAGGCTGTTCTCAGCACTCAGTGAACAAGCGCCCGGAGAGCACGCCGCAGACTGCACGGATTACCATCGTCACCACGAGGTGTCAGGCTTCCCCTCAGGGAACAGAAAGGCTTTTCCCCGACGGGCCTGGTGGGCTCTGGGACAGAAGCTGGCCTGGCTCCCTCCTTCCCGCACTCACTCTTTCGAGAAGAGGTCTGGGGGTGGGGCGGAGGCCCGGCCTTTGCCGGGTGAGCCCCGTGCTTAGGCACCTGCTGAGCACTGGCAGCACCCTCACCCCTGGCCATAGACTAGGCCACTGGGTGATAAGAAATGGCCTGTGCAAGGTTCAAGAGCTAGGACGGGCTGGAGATGGGATGTGCACGTGGGCCTCCCTGGCCCAAAGCCTGGGTTCTCACTAGCCAGGGTCGGCCTCATCACTCAAGCTGCCATGACACCGACTTCTTTCTTGCTCACCACCAGATTGATGAGTGACATCCCTGTGTCGACGCTGATTTGTCGTTATCGCCAGCAGCTAGAACGGTCCTGGCACAGGGACGTGTCTAACATCTTTCTTGCATGGATGAATGGATACATGAATGAGCACCTGGGTGGGCCTCTGTTCTCCGCAGGGACGGAGCCAAGGGGAAAGGTGCCCTATTCAGCAGCCCGCCTGAGACGGGGAACGCGGGCAGGGGCGTCACGGAAAGCCCTCTGGCTCTTCTCCCTCTAGGGCTGGTCGTGAGCATCGGATCAGTACCGGAGACAGCACCGGTCTCTCCCCTCACCGGCCTTCCCCACGGTGCGAATGCTTCCAAGGAAGGCTCTAGCCTGGTCCCAGCAGGACTCTCTGGGGCTCGCTGTGGGGACTGGGGCCACAGGGGTCACCAAAGACACGAGGGGCCACCTGCACTGATGGCAATACCTCGTTGTTGTTGGAGAATTTCTCACAGGCCGTGACACACAGCTCCATGGTCTCCACTCGCATCTCCTCTGGCATGTCCGAGTGCTGGAGACAAGGCAGGGGACAAACAGAGAGAGCCTCAGCCTGTGACCTGCCTCCTGGGCTGGCCTCCGTCCCAAGCGTAAGGCACGGACACCGGGGAGCTGCCCCGGCACAGCCCCGGGCACAGCCCAGAGAGATGACCCATCTCCTGACGGAATCACGCTAAGCCTCGCGGGCTCTTAGGCCCCGGGCCCCTGTGCGACCAGCGTGTTACAGCGACAGGCATGGGCTGAAGGCTGGCCCAGGCGGGAGCCTGCCGGCCACGGGAACGGTTTACCAGTAGCCTCAGAGCACAGCTGACGCGCCCAGAAGCCTGAAGAGACGGTGCGGCCCCTCTGGGCGCTCCTTCTCGGGCCGCTTTGCTGATGTGTCTCCTCTTCTGGGCTTCGTCTCCACCCAGCTACCTGCTCTCTAGGGACCCCCCCCGCTCCACGGATTCATGCATCTTCTATGCGGGGAGGGCTCCCACATGTTCATCCTTGGCTTTAACTTCTTTTTTGGGCTCCGGATTCCTATGTCCAACTGCCTACTTGACAACCTCAGATGTCTGAAAGGTAACTCTTGATTTTTCCCACAAACCTATTCCTCCGTCTTCCCTCTCTTGGTAATCAACACAGTTTTCTCTCCCAGGCTCAGGACGAAATAAACCCTAGCAGCCACCCTTGGCCTGCTCTCCCCCGTACCCAGCATGCAATGCGCCAGTGAATTCTCTTGCTCTACCTTCAAGATCTGTCCAGAATCCTACCATGTCTTGCCACCTCTATCTACTCTGTGACCTGGACCCGGCCACCCACATCTCTCTGGGCCTCTGCAATAGCACCCTGACCGGTCTCCCCACTTCCACCCTGATTCCCTAAAATCCATTCTCCTTCCAACAGCTAGAGTGATCTTTTAGAAATACTAAACGTAAAACGGATCACAGCACTCCCACTCCTCTGCTTAAAGCTCTTTACTGTTCCCTTTTGAACTCAGGATAGAATCCACGTTTCTCACCGTGGCCCCCAGGTCTCTGGGGCCTGGCCCTGCTGTCACGCTGACACTCACGTCCTGCCACCCCCTCAGCACCTGTTCCAGCCACACTGGCCTTCTTGCTGTTCCTCCCAAACGCTGGGCTTACTCAGGCTTTCTGTGCCTGCTGCCTCCCCTGCTTGGGGAGTGTTCTCCCCCAGACTTTCACAAGGCTTGCTCCCCAATTTTATTCAGGTCTCTGATCAGAGAAACCTTTCTAGAAGACATCCTCTATTCTCCAGCTCCTTATACCTGCTTTATTCTTCTTCATAGCACTCATTACCTGAAATTATGTTCTTTAAACCTTTCTTTCATGTGGGCCAGGCCTTTGTCTTGTTCACTCCTACATCCATAGTGCCTAGAACAGTGCCCGATAGCAGGTGGCCTAAATAAATAATTGTCGAGTGAATGAATGAATGAAAGGATGAATCACTGTTGACCCCTCGGTCTCTAGATCTGGCCAACAGAGCCCTTCTTAACTTCCTCCCACTGCTGTTCTGCAGGGGACAAGCTCCCCCTGCCTCTCTCTAAGGCTCTGTGGGGCCTGCTGGCTACCTGGCTCCCTCCTCCAGGGCTTACCCTGACCAGAGGAAAGGTCTGCAGTCGTTTATAATCAGCCTCATCTTTCTTCCCTTCTGTTTCTCCCATGATCCTTCCTCTGTGACCAGGAGGAGAGAGTGGGGCTTTCAGGAGGTGCTGGGACTGGTAATTAAGACACACCCAGGAGATTCAGGAAGCAGGCCCAGCCAGCTTGGTGGGAGCAGAAAATGTCTTTCCCCAAGGGGTGCTGCAGAAAACAGGAAAAACCAGGAGAAACGAGTTGGCTTCAAAACCACACATCACAAATTAGAAATGTCTCAGTAACAATCTGACACCTCCCCATCTCAACTCCTCTGCATCCTTTCCAAATGGCCAGCAAGTCTGCAGACGGGAGGATGAGTCAACACGAGATGCTGGGACCCAGCTAAGAACACGTCGGTACGAGGCTGCAAGCCCACACTGTCATTACCAAGACAAATACTGACTGCGGGCCAGGCTGAGGGTGGAGCCTTGAGCTCGCAATTAAGGAACGTAGCTTCTCTGCATGCCCACTATGTACGCAGTCCTTGCTCCCCAGCAGAGGAGTTAGGAAGTGAGATGTCAGGTCACGTTCAACAGCCCTGGGTTTATGGGCAAACAAGTGCCTCCTTCCGCAGGTCCCTGCTCTGTGGGAGGAAGGGGACCAGCAATGCTCTGTGCCCTCCCTGGCACACCTGGCAGCCCAGCTCTTCTCATCCACTCCCTCAGGCCACCCGTCTGGCCGGCCCAGGAGTTGGGAGGCTGAGGCATTAGTACCGGTGCTACCGCACACTAGCTACATGGCCTGGACCTCAGATTCCTCATCAGTAACATGAAGGTAGTCCAATCTATCTCATGGGGCTGTTATGAGAATCAAATGAGACAATGTACGCCAGGCACATGGTAGGCATTCAGTAAATTGTGCTTCCCTCCCTCTGGCTCCTGGGGGGAGCATACAAGGATATGACTGAAAAGTTATAAAGCTAATACACATGTATAGATTTTTTTTTTTTTTTCTTTCCAAATCTAGTTATGGAAAAACAGATGGGGCTTTTTCTAAAGAGATGGGCCTGGATCCTAAAAGACTGGAAGCAGTGCTGCAAATTCTGGTGTTTCTCTTTATCCTATAATTCAAAGAACTTTTAATCTCAGAAGTACTACTAACACAAATAAATACACACTGCCATGTCGTTAAGCCCTTTGTGACCATCCTTATTGGCCAAATACAGCCAAATAATGTTATTCCAGCACTTCTCACATTTCCAAATACATCTGCTTTCAGTGCACGACCACCGAACCCTGAAGATGCCTAGCGTAGTAACTAACGGGCAACTAACGGGCAGGTAACGACGAGCGATGTCTCTTGGCTTTCCTTTGGGCCAGACACTGTTCTAAGTGCTCCACGTGTGTTTACTCAGCCCCATGCCACCAACGACCCCACCAGTTAGGGCCTGCATGAATGGAGGGTCGCTCAGCTACTGAGCGGCAAAGCTGGGATTTGATCTGGGCACGGTCACCCTAACCCCTCCTCACAAGGCCTCTGCATGGCAACGACACACAGCGGGCGCCCGCACGCCTGACCTCTAGGGCGTGACCACTAGCACGGCTCCTGTGAGCCCAGCGGTGAGAGGAAGGTTTGATCTTCCCTTTCGGTGTCTGCTGTTCCGATGCTAACTTGACCCTTGTTTGGCCAAGCCTTGAGCTTTCTGTGCACTTTTTCTGGGCTGTGCTCTCGAGCTTATCCCACTCTCTGATGCTGCAGAAGTCCTCAGCGCCACTCCATGTGCTCGGCTCCCTCGAGCGAGGCTGGAAGCCTGGCACCGACCCCACGCCCCACAGCATGGGTATGTTCTGATTTCCCAGCGGACAGACAGCCCCTGTTACCTCATCGTTCTGGGCATTTGTACCATTCAGATATTAGCAGTTTCTGTTTGTCTCTATATATAAGCCTGCAAATTACCAAGTACAATCTCATTGTGCTCTCTGCTGAAGTGTCTTACTTCACAAAAGCCAGTGAATCATTTCGTCCTTTCTCGTTAATGTTAGGGTCCCATTGCGCCCTGTCCCCCTAGCTGTCTTCGGTAAAGGCCACTTTATTGCCTCCTCTTCCACATCACCAAGGGGTGACAGAAGGTGCGGGGCCACACTGATGATAAAAGAATAAGGGCTTTAAGCTTCCATTGCCTCCTGAGGTTTTCAAGCGGGAACAACTTACAATGCTGAAGCAGCTGCTTAGGGCCCTTCCACCTGAATATTTCAACTCAATCCAATTCATCCTCTGGGCTAAAAAGCGCTAGTGTGGAGGGGAGCTCGGTGGCAACTGTGCATACGTGTGCCCTCGGGGAGGTCAGGGTCTGTGACCGCTGCTTGGACTCTGCTTCAACACATAGAATCCTGATGAAACAAGACTTCAGAGGTATTACCAAAGCCCCTTCTTCAGGAACAAAGTGGAAAAGCCACTGGGACAGTTTTTTTTTTAGAGGGGACATCACCTTGTAGAGAAGAGAAAGTACAGGATCACGAGGCAGAATATTAAGGCTGGAATACTAGCTCTGTAACTGAAATCAATTCTGCCCTCTTCCTTGCTCTGCAGCCTTGGGCAAGTAATTTAACCTCCTGAGTCTTGGTTTCCTCCGTGAAATGGGATAATCCCACCTTCTCATTCTCAGAGAGCTGTCGAGAGCACCAAGTAGATGCACGTGAGCGTTCTGAAATCGCGGAGCTCCCCGCGCTCAGCATCACGCTGCCCCTACAGCCACCATGTTAGCAGCCAGCACTTCGTCAATCTCATTCAACCGCATTTATTCAGGACCACGACTGCAAATACTTTTCCTACCCACTGCACGTACTCCTGGGGATCCAAAAGGAATGAGACTCACAGAATGAAAAGGAACAGTTATAGATTATGTGTTTCCAAATCCAGAGAGGTAGGAGAATTTTTTATGATGCTGTATCATTATAGTACAGCTACAGTCATTCAGCCACGATTTTAAAACCCTGCCGATAGAATGCTACCGAAAATAGCAGAACTAGAGGTTTTAATAACCTTATAAATCTTCCATGCAAATGAGTGTGTGCCTGACAGGATCAGGCCAGGAAGAAGTTGCGTCAGGTCTAAAAGAGAGCCCTTTAATAATGGAAGCGTGCCCCTGGCCAGGGCACTTGAATCTCCTGGGTACCAGAGCTTGACCGTCCCGGGGCCTGTCCTGGCGCACAGAGCCAGTGGCAGCCTTGCTCCCTCTCTGCCCTTTAGTCCCCTCCTTACCCAAGGGCCCCTCTGGAGCTTTACGCAGCCTCGCCCATGTCTGCTGCGAGGCTTCTCCTAGGCAACAGGAGGCAGAGGCAGGGCTCTCCATCTTATCCTCCTGTCAAAGCCTGTGCCCCTTGTTCTTCTGTGGCAATGACCTCAGTCACTATTTATTATTTTGCTTTTGAAGTGTTTGGGAGGAATCCTTAAGAGGGTTAGGGGATGTGGGGAGGAGGAAGGAAAAATGAATGAATTCTGGGAAATAAGGTCAAAAGTGTCAGCCAGTACCCTGACCCCCCACCCCAAGCCACTCAGCGCCTGGAACACGCTTGGCTCGTGGACCACGGCTCGCCACCCCTTTACCACCTTCCAGCATCCGAGAGGTGGGAGGACACGCTTGGCGCACGGCATCGTGCTCCACAGGCAGGTCTGACTTCACACCTCGGTCTGTCTCGGGTAAGTGTTTACATCTCTAGGCCTTGGTTTTCTCATCTGGAAACTGGGCCTAAGAATAGACTCTGCCTCACAGTAAATGTCAGCTCTTGCTACTGGTGTGGAAGGAAGGGGAAGTGCAATGCCCTTGTTCATATCCCAGCCAACTAAACAGCTAAATGCTAGGCCAAACAAACCAACACTCACCGAGTCCCCCCCGGTGCTGTTAGTACTGAAGGAGGAAGGACTCACAAGGAAATCTGGTAAACACAGTTGGGCCGGGGGCTGTAGAGTGGTGACACTGCGCTTTCACACTTACTGCCTCATTTCAGCCCGTAACAACCTGTGAGGGCAGCACCCGCTCCCAGTTCTCAGACAAGACACTGGGGCTCAGAGAGGTTTGCAGGCTGGCCTGTGGGCACACAGCCAGCAATGACAGAGCCAGGAGCGGAGCCCATGTCTCTTCTTCTGACGCTACCTTCTGTGCTTGCTTTCTTGTCACAAGCAAGTAGGAAACAAGACAGTAACACAAACAATGTCAATCCTCGGCAGCCACTGGTCCAGCCCCCTGTCCAGGCAGGCCTCCGACTTCCAGCCGTATCGGGGCTACACACACACTCGGCACCTTGGTTATCCTCCTGCCTTTCCCTGACACGTCCGCCCTCTGCCTTCTGGCAAACAAAGGGCAAAGCTCGTAAGGTGAGGAGAAAGGAACCTAAGGACTTGAGAGCGTTCGTCTAAGATGTCAGTGGTGACGTCAGGAAACAACACCGAAGATGTGGATTCCACAATCAGTTTAAAATGCACCTGGGACTTCCCTGGTGGCGCACTGGTTAAGAATCTGCCTGCCAGTGCAGGGGACACGGGTTGGATCCCTGGTCCGAGAAGACCCCACATGCCGAGGAGCAACTAAGCCTGCGCGCCACAACTACTGAAGCCCGTGCACCACAACTACTGAAGCCCGCGCGCCTAGAGCCCGTGCTCCGCAACAAGAGAAGCCACCGCAATGAGAAGCCCGTGCACCGCCAGAAAGAGTAGCCCCCGCTTGCCACAACTAGAGAAAGCCCGCACACAGCAACAAAGACCCAACGCAGCCAAAAATAAATAAATAAATAAATGAATAAATTTATTTTAAAAAATGCATCATCTACTATAAAAGAAAGTTTTAAGAGTAAGAAAGAGACGATCGCAGGATAAAGAACAGTCCTGCTCAAGAAAAGAGTTACCCTTCATGCACACCAAGCCTTTTTTTTTTCACATCACCCTTCTTTTTTCTCATTTCACTGAGGTCCAGTGAAAACTTCTGATGTGTCTTAAACCAGGGGGAGGGAAGGAAAGAAAGAGGGAGAGAGGAAGAGAGAAAGATGAGGAGGTAGAGATCAAGACATTTTCTTTATGTATAAGATGGTGCAGTAAACAACACTGACTCGTGTGGTACACCCTAACGGACATACCCAAATCCAAACATTTTTGTCAGGATACAAAGTACAACAAAAAGCCATAACTATCACAGACATCAGCTCCACAGGAGAACAGATGCTTACTACAGACAGCAGATTCCACAGTCTCCCACCCCCCACTTTCCCACCTACCCCCTCCTTTCCCACTCAAGAGAACAGATTTGAACGTAAGGGACTGAGAATGACGTTATCACAGAAATGAGTTGGAGTTAGCCCTGATTTACTTTTTTTAAAAAATCAGTCACAATCGCTAACTATTGGTGACATCTCACAACCAGTCACGACTCAGCAGTGCTTCGTGAGTCCAGACAATCACCTGGGGCTGAACGACTTGCTCTGTTCTCCTGAACACCGAGAGCACCAAGTCCAATGTCTGACACATGGCAGAAGCCCAACAAATATCTAAACTGTAATTAAATTATATTTCATTTGCCCCCTGGGAAGGGAGAGGACCTATCAAATCCATTCAATAACACTTATTAAGCACTGACCCTGAACAAGACAACAGGACGGGTGTTCATTTACTCCTCCTAAGAACTCTGTCAGATGGGCACTATTATCCCTACTTCTCTGATGAACACTCAGGCTGAGAAAAGCAAAGTGACTTTCCACCCGGCTAATAAACGGAGGAGCTAGGATTCAATCAGCTATATATGACTTCAGGATTAAGCTTTTCCAACTACTCTGCTATAAACAAGAGACAGTCTCTGCTTTCAAGGAGGATACAATCCAATATGACAGACCCACACACATACACAAGGAATTAACTACGGTTCATGGCAGAGAGCAGTAAGCGCCACAAGCCGGGTGCAAAGATAGAGGAAATAGGAGAATTCTGGAGGCGGCAGAGGACAGCAAGAAAAGCTTGGTGGTAGGGGCAGCATCTGAGTCAGACCTTAAAAGGTGAGTGGGAATCCTGATGGGTGGGCGAGGTGAGCAAAGACCTTCCAGGCAGAGAGATGAACACACACAGTGATGTCAAAGCAGAAAGCTCAAAGCGTTTTCTGGGAAAGTCCAACAGTCCAATTTGGCCTGAGGACAGAACTTGGCAAGGGAGAAAAGAGAAAGTAGGCTGGGAAGAAAGACTGGGGTCAGGTTGTGGATATACAGCAGGGCCCTAAGACCCAGGCTTAAGAAGTATGGATACGGGGGTCAGGTTGTGGATATATAGCAGGGCCCTAAGACCCAGGCTTAAGAAGTATGGATATTTTTAGTGGAGAAAGAGAAGCCCTTTGGAAGTGTCTTGGGGGCTGGTGACATGGTTGTGTTTTGGGGCAATTATTCTGGTGGGCTGGGTTAACAGGAGGAGAGACTGGAGGTAGGAACACCAGTTAGGAAGCTACAGCAATGGCCCGGGTGACAGACATTAAAAACTTGAACCAGGATGGTGGCTTTAGGCATAGAGAGAATGTGAGACCCTTGCAGAGGCCCAATCAAAGACTTGACACTGCCTAAGTGGGACGGGCGTGGCAGAGTGATGGAGGATGCCCCAGGAGGATGGTGACGCCACTGAGACAGACAGGGGAAGTCAGGTAGGACAGATGGATAGATAAAGACGCGGGCTGGTCTGATTTTTGAACTGCTGAGTTTAAGCTGTTGGTGAGATACACAAATGGAGGTGTCTCATCAGGAGCAGGGAATCATGGAATAATGGATTATCAGGGCAGGAGGGAAGCCACCAAGGCCAAGCACCACATCAATATATCAATCTCTACTCCAACCCCCACTCCCAAACTCTCCCTAACCACGGAAGCCCAGGAGAAAGATCAGAGCTAGCGATGTGGATTTGTAGGGGAAACGGAGAAATAACAGCTGACCATAAGGGAGCTGGTGACACTTCTCAGACGGGGAAAATGTGCGGAAATAAGAGACAAAGGAAGGAAGTTCATATTATCCTCAGAATCCCCAAAGGAGATGTGCTGCAGGTTCCTAATTCTATATATACTCAGACTGGACTCCAGAGAGATTAGGTAACTTGCTAGGGTCCTGTAATTGGGAATCCAAATTAGGTTTGCCAAGTCCTTTTCACTACACCCGAAACTTCCCAAAAGGACCACATCGTCAGGGAAGCCTACAGTTGGGTCAAAGAATCACATCGTAGAACGTCAGCGTCAAAGAGACCTTAGAGATCATTCAACCTAACTTCCCGTTTACAAATAGGGAAACTGAGGCCAAAAAGGGAAATGACCAGCCTCGAGTCCCAGCACGTCGTCAACTGCCCAAGTCAAGCGGTCTGGGGGGAGGCGATGGCGACCACCGGCCCACCCGCGGGAGGAGGGGGTTACCCTGCGAAAGATAGGGGATCAAGGCGCGAGGAGGAGTTGGGTTAGGGAGGACGGGGGATCGTGAAGCTGGAGGGGACCTCGGGAGGGTAGGGAGGAGCGGCCTGCAGAGTCGCGACGGCGAAACTGTCTCGACAGAGCTCGCAGGTCCCCGAAGTGGTGGTGGAGGGAAATGGGGGTTGGGAGGACCTGGAACTGGGGACCAACAGGCAGGAGGCTGAGGTGGGGCCTCCGCGGTAGGCGAGGCCCCGCCCGCCCCGCAATGTCTCCCGGCCCCGCTTCGGGCCGGCCCTCCCCGCCCGGCTGCCCACCGCTCCCCCGGGCCTCACCTGCTCCCGCGGGGGCCGGAGCCAGGGCCTCAGCGAGTGCACCCCCGCCAGGGTTGTCAAGGAGGGAAACAAGAGTGTCTTAGCAACAGCAAGGAAGTCTTGCCCCCTCACCGGACGTTGACGGAAATTTTACTTCTTATTGGTCAATAAAAACGTCAATCAATGTTGAAGGGCCCACAACGTAGAGATTTGTGCGGAAAGGGGCGTGGCTTAGAGGTTGGGGAGGTGGGGCTTCACTTATAGTTGTCTTAAGTGAGCCTGAGGAGCCGGGTACCTTAAGAAGTTCTCATTTTAGAGAAACTTTGAAAAGCAGTATTGCCTGGAGAGTTCCTTTTAGTCATTCGAAATAACAAATGCAATTTGTCTGTGTCGTGACCCTAAGATGCCACTTTATTGGGATCTCAAAAGCCTAATATTAAGTAGCATTACAATGAGTATCGCACCTGATTCTCACCACAATGAGATGTGGTTACGAACACCATTCGAATAGTATTCGTAACCACATCCATCTGAACTAAGGTTCAGAGAGGTTAAGTAGCTTGTAAAAGGAAAAAAATCAAGGTTAAGTTCCTGGAGAAGGAACCCAGGGGCTCTTGCACAGCAGCACACCCTCTTAATAGTTGCCTAGTCCTAGCCCGTGGGAGACATTGTACCATCTGACCTAAAGATACCATTGTCCAGAGCCTGCCTCTTCTTTCCCTTAGGAGAAATTAATCTGAGCATATGAGTACAACTAGGGAGAAGGGAAAGGGGGGAGGGGAGAAGAACCTGCAGATTCAATTATTTGATTGGTGGATCAAAGGGTCAGTGGGGTGTTCCATATTTTAACCATCTACCCTATCATGATGGGTACTTAGGGTGGAACCCCACTTCACATTCATTGGCATTTACTGGGAACTCAGTCCTGGCCAGGTGCTGATGATTCAGAGGGGAATAAGATGAGGACCTTAGTCCCAGAGAAGGCACAGTCCAGTGTGGGGAAAGTCATGTCAACAAATAGATAGAGAGTAATTCATTCTACCTGTGCTCTGGTAGAGGTGTGGGCAAGGTGCCGGTTCTCTCCAAGGAGGGAGGAACTAACTCTCGGAACAGGTGGTGCTTGAGTTGGCTGAGTCTAAGATGACCAGCGGCTGGGAGGGTCCACACAGTTCACTGGGGAACTGCTGGTGGCTCCATGAGGCCTGGGTAGATGATGAATGTGGTGCAAGTGGGAAGGGGGATGGTGAAGACAGTGGAAGTGAAGATGCAGAGGGAAGTAGGGCTTTGAATGCCAGGTTCAGAGAAGTGAGGTGAGAGTGCGGGAGAGTAGCTGCTGGAGGGTTTTAAGTAGGGCAGAAACGGGCAGATTTGGGTTATGGAAAGATCACTCGGATGGAGAAGATGGTAGAGTGGATTTGGAATGGGTAGGTGAAGGCAGGCCCAGCAGGTTCAGCTTTGAGACTTGGAAGCTTGAGGTGCGCCAGGCCTTTGCCGATTCCCAGCTTGCCTCCCTGGCGTGTTCTGAGGGTCCACGGGACATGTGACTCAGCCTCCAGATTTCCTCAATCCTCTTTGCCAAGTTTCTCCAAGAGATGGAAGGTGGCCTTTGAGGGGGATGAAGCTCTTGCTTCCGCCTCTGATCCAAACTTCTCCCAAAAGGGGTCCATATTTGCTGTCTTCTCTTTCTCACCTCCCATTCATTCTTCAGCCCACTGCAATCTGGCTTCCACTCCCACGACACCACCAAAATTCCCTCTTCCATGGTTACCAGTGACCTCCTGAAGAGTAGAATCCAATAGACCCTTTTAGTCTTTATCTTAGTGGACCCATCCCCCTGCTGGCATAAATCTGTCGACTACACCCATCTACGTGAAATTCTCCACCCCAAAGACAGTGCCTGCAGAACTCTTTACAATGCAGATTCCAAGGCGCCAAAGTATCAGAATAGTGAAGGGCAGTAATCTGTATTTTTCACAAGCACCCCTGGTGCGCACTCACCATTGAGAATCACTGCTCTATCCTAACACCTGGGGCACCTCATTCTCCTGGGTCTCCTCAAAACTCTCTTCCTTTCTGGCTCCTTCTTCCTTTGATCTCTGTGCCCGCCTTGACCCTCCTCTTATCAATGGTCTCAAATTCCTTCCTACCCTAGGTCACCGCCTCATCAGGAAGAGTTTCCCTTGGTCATGCTGCGTAGAGTATTTACTGGAATTGAGGGTTGGGTGTGTATTTTGGAAAACCTCTCTGGTGATTCCAAACACTCTTCCAGGGAGTTATGCCACCCCACACACATCTTGTTGAGAATTGCCACCTTAAGGACTGTCCTTTGGGGATCTCATCCACTCCCACGGTTCCATTGTCAATGTCCTTGTAGATTCTGATGGCTCCTGTGTTTCTCTCTCCAGATTAGGCCTCTCACTGGAGCTACAGGCCTAAATATCCAAATGCCCCCTGGCCATCTCCACCAGAATGTCCCACAAACCCTTCAAACTCAGTGTCCCAAAGTGAATCCATCTTCCTCCAACTTGCTCTCTTGCATCCCTGTCTCAGTAAATGGCACCACCACCACCTGCAGTTGCCTACGTCAGAAATCAGGGAATCTTGTCCTTCCCGCTTCCCCTTGCCGTCACCCACCTCAAATCAGTCACAAGCCTGCTGGTTCTAACTCCTATGTCCTGATTACAGCCCCTTCTGGCCATCTTCATGGCACTCTTCATGTGCACAGCTCCATGATCCCACCTGTATTATTGCCAATAACTTCCTAATAGGACTACCTGACCGCAGTCTTGCCCTTCTCTAATTCACCCTCTATACCACAGTCAATGCGATACTTCTAAAACCCAAATTTCACCACTGCATTCCTCTCCTTAACAACTGCTTCCCTCCCTCCACAGTTCCCCAGCGCCCACCAAGTGACATCCAGATGCCACGACCTGGCCTTCAAGCCTGTGGCATGGCCCGTGGGCACCTCCATCTCCTTGCCTCTCCTTCCCCTGTGTTTATGTTCCAGCCACTCCAGCTCTCATGGCTCTCCACACACTCTACACTGTTCCTCACCTCCCTGCATTTGCTCACACATCCTCTCTGCCCACATTCTTCCTCTGCCCGTCCCTCCTTTTTTGGCTAAAGGAGCCCATACTCTTTTGGTCTTAGCTTGCACACGTTGGGATTCCACCACTTACAACCAGAAAAGTCCTTTGTACTCCCGTCTCATCTGGTGCATGTTCCCGCCACGGCTCTTCTCCACTGTTTTGTACTTGAGTTTAATTCTCCGTCTTCCCCCGTGAGCTCCTTGAGAGCAAGGACTTGGTCTTATTCACGTCTGCATCTCTGTGTTTCACACAGGATCCAGCAGAGAGTAGGGGCTTTGTAAATGTTTCATGAATAACTATATGAATAAATGAATGGGGGGGATAGGATCCTACCCTACTTCTTCAGACTCAGCTCTTGTCGGTCCCCAGGATTCAGCCTACATTCTAGCTACACCTCTTCATGCACTGCTCCTGCAGTTTAGAGTGGTTAATGGTGGACACCCTGGAATCAGTTAGCAACTGCATCAGCTGCAAGTAACAGATATTGGGAGGATAGTGACCTAAAATGACGTAAATTTATTATCTTACAGTTCTGGAGTCAGAAGTCTGAAATGGGTCTCAGCAGGCTAAAATCAAGGTATCCCCAGGCCTGCGTCCCTTCCTGAGGCTCTAAGGAAGGCTATTTCTTTCCCTTTTTCAGTTTCTAAACACTTCCTGCCTTCCTCTGACACTGACTCTTCAGCCTCTTTCATATCTAAGGACCCTTGTGATTACCTTGGGCCCAATCAGATAATCCTAGTTAATCTCTTTATCTCATGGTCATCTGATTAACAACATTAATTCCATCTGCAACCTTATTTCCCTTTACCATGTGACAACATATTCATAAGTCCTGGGGATCAGGAAGTAGACATCTTTGGTGGGGGGAGGAGGGCATTATTTTACTTACTATAGTCAGTATGGGTAAAATTTTCACATGTAATTGAAAAGAATGTCTATTCTGTAGTTGCTCTGTTAGGTCAACTTTGTTTATCATTTTGTTCAGATGTTCTGTACTCATGCTGAATTGTTTTTCTTCTGCTAGCCCTATACATTATTGAGATAGGTGTGTTCAAATATCCCACTACAATTACAGACTTGTCAACTTTTCCTTTCTTTCTATCAATTTTTACTTTATATAATTATGCTGTGTTAATACACACATACAAATTTATAATTGTTATATCTTCCTAAGAGACTGACTCTTTATCATCACGAAATGTGTCTTTTATCTCTAGCAGTGATTCTTGTCTTAAAGTCTACTTTGAACTAAGTATAGCTACACCAACCTTCTTTGAGTTAGTGTTTGCATGGTATATATTTTTCTACCCTTTTAATTTCAACCTTCCTACAGACTTATTTTAAAGTCCAGTTCGACAATATTAATATTTTCATTGGAATATTTATCTTTTAATATTTAATGTAATTACCCACTGACATTGAATTTAGGTTTAAGTCAATCACCTCGCTATTTTCTACTTATCCCTCCCTTTCTGGGTTCCTTTTTTCCCCCTTTCTTGGCCTTCTTTGGATTTTTATTATTCTATTTCTTTCTCCTGTAGTAACTGGTTAGTTACATATTCTTTTACAGTCTTTTTAGTGACTACCCTAGGAAGATTCAATATCGATCCTAGACTTGTTCAACTCTAATGTAAAATTAATACTTTTACTACTTCCAGGACCCTGCAAGGACATTAGAATATTTTAATTGCCTTTACCTCTTCCCACTTTTTAATTCTGTTGCTGCCATGAATTTCAAAGTTCACAGACATAATTTTTTTCCAATCAATATTAAGTTAGGTTTAGCCGCATACTCACCCTTTCCTTTGTTCTTCACTGGAATTTCCATACTTCCTTTCAGGACCTTTTCCCCCTCTCCCTAAAGAATTTCCTTTAGTCTGTCCTTTAAGAGAAGCTCTGTTGGTAACAAAAAACTTTGGTAATAACTATTCTGTTTTTCCTTTGTCTGAAAACATCTTTACGTCCTCCTCATTTCTGAAGGGCCTTCAATGGATATAGAGTTCTAGGGTGGCAGTTATATCCT